AGAATTAAATGATTCGTAATTAATAACCTTTATTAAGCAGTGTTCTTTTCACCTTTATCTACAAACCTCTTTTCTACAAACATATTATTTTAATATATTTTCTGATGATTGTCTAGAAAAACTATGGCTTCCATGAAACAAGTGCCTTTGCAATTCATCACATAAGAATGATTCTTTAAGCCACATCAATGTTTCTTCACTCAAAGTTTAAATAAAAATAAACAAAACAAGAGTAAATAAAGACCAAAAGAGTAAATAAACAACAAAACAACAAATAGTAAATATTATCATGTGTTCACACATATTCAATTGCTATTTAGAATACCAAGATAAGAAAAAAAGGCACTCCGTGGACTCAATATATCTTCAGATTACTGAAGGACCCAAAAGACCCCCTTGAATTACCAAATCTGGCAAGGTGGGGAAAAAAGCCTGCCTGTTTATGCCAAGGAATAGGTATAATGGCTACAACCTGGATGGCTAAAGGAATAGCAGACTAAATTTTGAAAGTTCATGCTAAGAATTGCACAAAAGCACAAAAATTTTAAAAAATATGTGATTGTTATCTGATTTTTTATTGTGTTTCTTTACAAAAGGAAGACCTGTGGTCTGATGAATGGGTATAAGGTCTATGTCAGGAAGTTTCTCAAGAGATAGATGCACAAAATTGCAGGAAAACACACGGACTGCAGAGGGATTGCCTGGGCATCCACTGATGCTACAGAACTGATACTTTGCAAAGTGAAGAGAAAGGGCATGGAAAACATCTTGGTATCCTTAAGGTGAGATACCAAACTGCTGGGAAAGAGGAGATGCAGACTTCTTCACTCTTTGGAACCAGAAATCTATGTGAGGGCAGTGTATCCTTTTAATTAGTGGTAAGACTACACTATTCTAAAGTGGTCATAAAAAATTACACAAACTTTGAGAGAAGGGAAAAAAACCCACATGGCAAAACCCCAAAAAATAAACCTAGCATACCATTCTAATCTGAAAGATATCCTCAGATTATTTTGTAGCAGTCACACTAAATCACATCAGTCCCCCTAAAAAGGAAGAGTTTTAAAGTACAAAATTAGAACCCCTATCCTAAAACTCTAATTCTTGTCTCTAATATTCATATTTCAGGATTAAATTGCAAGTGTCCTTTGTACCCCAAAATCCCCTAATTCAGGTAATTCATGGTACAGAACTCAACATCAGCCCTGAGACCCAGCAGCTTGCTTCATCTGAATAAGATCAACAGTGCTGGAAATTTTTAAGCATGAACAAACAGTGATTACTTCTTAATCAGTGCCACAACATTTGATGCTTACACTGCATAATGCAAGACTGTGTGGAGAACTGTCAAGTAAAGCTGTAGGATCCAGCTGAATTCACATCAAGCTTCATTAATGTATGTGAATTTATATACAATGAATGTATTTATATATGGAGAACATGAAGTGCTCCATATTTACCACATTATCAATGTTGTCAATTAAATTTTCATCCAGATGTAGCCTGTATATATTGATGCTTACACTGGACTCTTGACAAGTCTGTTCCAAATTACTCCATTGAGGTGAACTGAAGCTACCCAACAGAAGTAAAGATTTATCATCCTGTCTTTATACACTCCATGCCCAGAGCCAAACCAAGAAACTCCCCTGTTCTCTCACTCTGCTAATGTCTCTGAAAAGCCATCAGAGAGGACTACCATGTAGCTAGCAGCTGTTTCTTAGACATCTTTAAATTAAAGATTTTCCCCTTTTTAAGGAATAGGGATGACAAACACGACTAGAAATATTCTGAAGAGTCCAAGCACAGTGGGAGGCAGCAGAAGACACGGCTGTGCTGAGAAGTGCATCCAGCTGCTCAGCCTGCAGGTGCATCTGGAGTAGACGGACAGGATGAAAAATTAGAGGTGTTCCTGGGCTGGATACATTTGAGTAATGAGGGAAGTTCGTAAAAATAAATCAGAGAAAAACATGTTTGGATAAGATCAGTCTAGAGCAAAATAAGACAAACAGGGGAATCAAATCATAGTTGAGATTTCAGTGATGTGAACAGGAAGTAGAAATAAGAGATCCAGAAAGAGAGAAAGCAAACTATGTATAAAAATTGGCATTGGATCTAGTGTGAAAAACTGTGAATAGCTAGAAAAAGTGGCAATAAGAATGGCAAGTGTGAAAGAAAACAGTCAAACTTTAAACCAGTAAGCCAAACATTATTAAAGGAATTGAAAAATACCATATAATTTTCCAGTTCTCTCAAAAAAAAAAATCTGATGTGGAATAATTCACAGCACAGTTAGGAGAGCCTGAGAAGTAAGCATGAACATTACAAACCACAAAAAATCAAAATTCACTATCGCTTCCAGAGATTGTGATTTATAAGGGCTCCGGATATTCAGAAGAATGGGGTGATAAGGAGAAGCATTTCACAGCTGCAAAACAGATACTTTCCTTAACTCAAACACATCCAACTTTCCATCCCTTCAGCAACCAAATGCAAACATGAATGCTGTAGGTCTTGAGCAGGGCACTTTGGAAGATAAAAATAGTTCTGCCTACAACAAACACTTGTCTTTACAGGCTCATAGCACGGCAATTGAGAAGCACGAGGCGCACTTTCCATTTCCTAGCAGAACTTCACCTCACATGCTCAGCCACTTGCAGATTAAAACTAGCTGTCTTACAGCTGTGCAGCTAGTGAGAGGATTAAAGGAACACATAAAATCTTTGCAAAGATACTTGTCAGTTTAGGATTCTCCAGATACAGCTCATTCCCAAAAAAGCCACAGTGCACAACGCATGGCAATACAGAAAACAGAGCAGAAGAGGGGAAAAAAAAATTGCAAAATGTCCATAACTAAACTAATGTATATTGTGAATATGCAAATATGTTCCATTTCATATCAACTCTAAAGCAGCATACAGGAGGGGAGTATTAGAGAATTGCACTGCAGAAGGTTTAGGGGAGATACAGGTGTTTGAAATAAAAAAAGAATGGCTCTCTAAATGTTAAATTGGAACGAAAAGCAAGAACAAACACCAAAGAATGAGTTTTTTCCATGCTCTTGCCAATGTGCATGACCATATACATTCTCTACTGCTACTGTAGAGAA